GTGTGTGTGTGTGTGTGTGTGTGTGTGTGTGTGTGTGTGTGTGTGTGTTGTGTGTGTTGGAGGGAATGGGCTGCTTTAGGGATGGGATGAAGGACCTAAAACCGTGGAGCCATGCCTTCCTGCTGCTCTCACTGCCCTCCCAGAGACAGGAAACCAGAAACTGCCCAGAACAGCCACCCCAACCCATCACACATTACTGATGCTCTCAGGGCTGGTCCTGACCTGGCCCAGTAGGGTAAGTTGTTCTGCCCATCAAACTAACAGCTGGCCTGAGAAGGCTGCGTGCCAATGGGGGCCACCTGGGCATGAGGGCAGGAGCGGTGGGCAGCTGTGCCCAGGCTCCAGATGGTACAGAGAGCAGCCAAGACAAGATGGAGGCTGGCAGCAAGAAGGCTTTTAGAATGCCAAATGTAGTGAGAGGCAGGCATCAGGCCCAGAATGGCCTGGAGTCCTCATGAGAGACTGGCTACCCAGGGAGGGCAGAGGACCATGTGGGTTGCAGGGCTCATGTCCTCTGTCCTGGAGCATTTCTCTGGATCTTTCAGGAAAGAGCTTAGCCCAGGGTCCAATGCTCAGCTGAAGCAAACCAGACAGACTCTTGAACCATGAAGGACCTGACCTGGCCTCCTCCTGGCTCAGACCCTCAGAGGGCATGGAGAGCTACAGCATCGTGGAGAAAGGAGCCACCATGGACAGATTACAGAGGCCTGAGATGGCCCAAACTGAGAGAAGGAGGCTTTCAGAGATTCTGGTATTCCCAGGCTGCACCTCAAACAAAAGAACAAAAGGCAGGCCAGAGTCAGGGGTGGATTAAGGGGCTGTCTCAGCGTGGAATCTGGCTGACTTGCTCTCATGTGCGCACAGGCACACGTGTGTGTGTGTGTGTGTGTGTGTGTGTGTGTGTGTGTGTGTGTGTGTAGTCGAGTGTGTGATTTGTGGATGCTTAGTACAATCCTTTCCCTGGCTCCTCTGCATCTCCCTTGCCCAGTTCCAACTCCTACACACCCTGCTGATCCTTGCAAACTAGAGGTTCACGCTGGGGTTACCCACAGTTGAGTCTCATTCCTGACCCTCATCTCTCTCTCCCACGCAAAGACACTGCCTTCTCGAAACATCCCTGGGCGCCTCCAGGGGACAAGCCTGTCACAACTGCTCCTTCCCAGCGCAGGCTGGCCTGTCATCCTACAGGCTTCACAATGGGCGTGTTTGCCTTTAAAGCCCTTCCAGGCTGGGGGGTGGCTAGAGCCTGGAATTCCACAGCCCTTCCGGTGGCCCAATCCTGCCTTCACTGAGCATCCAATGGCCACCGCTTATCATTTCCGCCCTCCTTGAACAGGGGAGTCTGCATCCTCAGTGCTCAGCCCAGAGCCTGGTACCTGGTGCTCAAATTCTGTTTTCAAAACAAACCTGTTAATCAAAGCCCATCAGTTAACGATTAACTGAATGATTTTGGGCAAATCCCTTTTTTTTTCTCCTAGGCCTCAGTTTGCCCAGCTACGTAGTGGGTACATTGGTCTATACTATCAGTAATTCTACAGGTCCCAAGTGGCCTGTGTGGTGTGTCCAGGAGGACTGGGTCTCTGGGAGGCAGCTGGAAATAGCCCCGACCTTATATCCTGCTGTTCCAGCTTTTGCTTTCCCTAGAGTAGGTGGAGAGCTGGCTGAGGCCACTCTGTGTCCCCTCCCCCGCCAACCTCAGATTTTGCCTCAGACCACAGAGTCCTCAAGGACGTCTCTGAGGAAGAGGTGGAGGGTGGCACCGCATGCCACGTTTCCTGATGGCACTCCAGGGCTGTGGCTTTCGTCTCAAGGTTGCCTGGTAACCGCGTTTGCATTCTGATGAAAAAGTGTGGCGGTGCCAGAAACAGGGCTGCCTGAGGGGTGGGCACCCGGGGTGGGGCTTGGACTTGGATAGGGCTGGAGTAGGGGAAGGCAGAGCCATCAGTACATCCGTCACATTACCTCACGCTCCAGGTTTGGGGGGGGAGGGGATGCGGGACCAGGGCTGGACCCAGCCTGGCCTAAGATTTCAGTTGGGGTAGCAGAGTTGAAGGACAGGCCAGTCCAGGTTTGCAGTGGGGTATCTAGCCTGGCATTTGCCCCCTCCCGTCTCCTTCCTCACACCTGCAGCTGGCACCTTCCACCCTGTGAGCCACAGCCGGTGCCACCTCTCATTTGGTGATGATTTTACATTAATTACCTTAATTAAGCGGTGCTGAGTGCTAATGGCTTGAGAGGGGGGTGGCTGTTCCTAATTGCCCTTTCAGTCAGCCTGGCATGAGGGGCCCAGAGCTTGGTAGAACAGGAATAAACAGTTGCAGAAAAAAAAGAGGGGGAGCCAATCTGGGTAGGGGAGGTCCTGCTTCCCTGACTGGGAGTCCTGAACCTGACTGCCCCAGAGGGGCTGAGCTGGAGGTGCTGCCTGGAGACACCTGCAGCTGGCCGCCTGCCTGGATCCAGGGCCTGGATGAGCTAGGACAGGCGGGAAGCAGGCCTGAATGGGTGAGCAGGGAGCATGGTAATGCTTTCTGGACTTCTGATCTCCCCCACTCCCCGCCCCCCGGGGCTTCCTGGTTCCCTGCCTGCTTCCCTTAGATAGGTGAAGCGCTTTGTTTCCGCTTGCAACAGTCTTTAAGATGCAGGTCAAATGTCCGTGGTTTTTCGTCCATGTCCATGTTGGTCCCTGTGCTATAAAGGCCCTCTAGCATGGTACAGTCTATCTAGGAAGGAGAACGGCGAGGGCTAAGGTGGTGGGTGATGATGGCCCGACACTCTGAGGACAAGGTGAGACGCCTCTGAAGACAAGAGAAAAGGGCATCAGTGCAGGGTCCCAGGTTTACCCCAGTGGAGGGACTGGCATGTGCAACCGGGGCTTGTGGGAGAAAGAAGCCATAGTCCATTCAGTCAGTTGCAAGCTGTTCAGAACAAAGATGGAGCTGGCCGAGAGGCAAGAAATAGCAGAGGTGGGCCCAGGATGCCCTGGGGCAGGGTGGGGGACAGAAGCACTACATTCTCACCTGAGAAGAGTGACTGCTGTGTTGGTAAGGGAGGGAGACAGGGAGCATGTGCAGTGGCCATCAAGTCCCCAGGAGGGGTGAGCGGTGGCCACACAGTGTTTGGGGTGATGGAGGAAAAGAAGCAGGGAGTATGAGAGCTTAGGGGGCAATTATGGTTGACAGAGTTCGAGGGTGAGCTGGTTGGATTAAGAGAAAAGGACTGGAGTACCCCATGTTGCTCAGGGGACCTGATCTTCATGGTGCCATGGTGGCCCTATTCCAGGTTTCTGACCTGATATAATGGGATGACAAGCAGGTTTGGGACGACAGAAAGAAAGATCTGGATTTGTGGAGGCTGAAAACCCATAGAACATCAGTGAGGACGTTCAGGCTCAGGTCTGGGGTGTTTCAAGCAGCTTCTGAATCCTGAGGGAAGGGTGAGCTGCCACGAGATTAGGGACAGATCTGAGCATGGTGTGGCTATGCCAGCCTTCCACCCCTCTGCATCCCAGGACCCAGCGCTTGCTACAGGAGAGGACGCTTTTTCGGAAGGAATGAAGAGAAGAACAGGCGCGAGAATGAGGTGCTGCAGCTTCTCCACAGGTGGCCCGGTGTTGTCTGCACCCCCACCCGGGGCTGAACCCCTCTGCAGGCTCTCCTAAGCCATTCATCAAGCTCTGACGAAGAGGCTGAGCACACTTGCTCTTCCCTGGAGCCCTCCCAGCCATTGCTGGTGGTGCATAAGACAGAATCCAACCATCTCCCAAGCCCTAGGCACACCCCCATCCGCCCACCCACCCACCCGGGTGCTACTCCTAAGCCTGTCTACCTCTCCCCACTGTAGGCCCCTTTTTGGGAAAGGGCAGTTTTGCTCTTACTGGATCAAGACCACTCACCTTGATCTCTACTCCATATCCAGGGTAGACAGAGATGTAGTAGAGACAGTCCAGGCCAACATCAGAGGGTAAGCTGGGGGCCGTGGGGGAATCCAGAGAGCCCTCTGGGCCTGAGAAATTCCAGCTACAGGGGCCTGGGAGGCAGGAGGAGACACTTGGCTAGGACCAGCTCTGGTGGGGTAGAGTCAGCTATTCAGTGTGTGTGTGTGTGTGTGTGTGTGTGTGTGTGTGTGTGTGTGTGTGTGTATACCACGTGCATGCCTGGCATCCAGTGAGGCCAGAAAAGGGCATTAGATCCCCTGGAACTAGATTTCCAGATGGTTGTTAGTGGCCATGTGGGTGCTAGGAACCCAGGTTCTCTGCAAGAGCAGCCAATGTTCTTAATGCTAAGCCATCTCTCCAGCCCCACAGTAAGGTTTCTACTGACCACTTTCCAGCCGAGGCTCATAGAGGCTGAATACAACCCCACAGGCTGTTACAGTTGGAAGAATCAGAACTTGAACTTGGGGGTAATCTGGTTCCAGTGCAAAGGGTAGGGCAGGAGCAGAGGCATTTAGGGGTCCTGGTGAGCCCTCCACCCTCGCTTGCATCCCTGCCGGCCAGCAGGTAGCTGACCTGGGGGCTGGACTGTGGTGATGGTGGTGGTAATGATTGTGGTGGTGGTCTCTTCGTCATCCCCTGAAGCTGTGGAGGTGGTGATGGTCCCCTCGATACCAAGCCCAGTGGCCTTAGACATGACCTCTGGAACCCAAGGTCTGCCCATGTCTCCAGGGCCCTCCTGGGTTGGAGTCCATGACTGGCTGGGGGGTGTGGTACTGGGTCTGTCCTCTGGGTACAGGGTGGGCACGGCCATACTAGGTCCTGCAGGTAAGGGAGATGTGATGTGAAGCTCGGGGGTCTCTGACTCTAGGTTCCAAGGTTTCTCCCTGGCGTGGGGCTGCGTGGGCGCCGCAGCCACGGCTGGAGTGGGACTGGTGAAGACTGGGCGGCTGTCCTGGTTGGTGAGGCGGGGAAGGGGGCTTGGCGTGAAGGGTGTAGGTGAGTCCGCCGGGAAGGGCAGAGCCGGCCTTGGCGCCTCCTCGCTCCGCTCTAGCCCCTCTTGAAGAAATTCCTCCAGAAGTGGGTGGTGGTTAAGGAGCTTGAGGGTGGGGGCTGTGGTGACGAAGTGGACGCCTCGGTCTGGCTGCTCAGGGGTAGGGGCTGCGGTCAGCTCCCCATCCGTCTCCCTGATGCCCATGGCTTGACCTTCCCCCACAAGCGGAGTCTCCGAGGAGAGTCCTGAAATAATAATGAATGATCAGAGGTTCTCCTGCAACGCCACAGTGAGCCGTATCCCACCCAGCACAGGCGGGAGGAGATCCATCTTGCTTTTGACAGAGAGCCTTGGAGAGTGTGCTCATTGTTGAGAATCATGGAGCTATAAAATTTTAGAGCTGGAAGCGAGGTGATATCGCATACTTCAAAGATGGCACGTGAGCTATCCTTTCTCCCCCCAGCAACCAAGACAGACATTACAAATCGATCATCGCACTATTTCCTGCTGTTTCCAGATCCAGCTTCAGAATCCTCAACACAGAATGCTAGGAAGCCACGACATGACAAACACATTTTGCCATTCCTAATGTACCTCAAAGGCCTTATTTTACTAATGAGGAGATGGGTCATGAAAAGCTAGTGCTAGGGCGGAGGTTGTAGCTCAGCTGGTAGAATGCTTGCCTAACGGGCATGAAGTACTGGGTTTGAACCCAGCACTGTATAAACTAAGCATGATGGCTCACACCTGCATCCCCGGCAGAAATATCAGAAATTCAAGGTCAGCTTCAACTGCACAGCGAGTTTGAGGCCAGTGATACATGGGATTCTGTCTTTAAAGAAAAACAAAAACAAAAAACAAACAAACAACAGAAAAGCAGGTTCAGTGGCCTGTTTGGTTCCAGGATGCAAGAGGCAAAGGGTTTGGGGCAAGCCTGGTCTACATAATGAGTAGGATAACTAGGGCTACATGGCAGACGCTTGCTCAAGAGAAAAGAAAGAAAATAAGAAGGATGTGCCCTGTTCAGAGTCACATAACTTGTATAAATGAGCAGACAAGGATTTTAACAAGAGTGATATCCTCACAACAGTGACTTTTCTAGCTGAAATTACAAGACATTCAAATTCACGTCCTGTTTCCAGTGAAACTGGTGGTCATTAGTTTCAGGAAACGTATCACATATTTGGAATTTTATCTTAGATTTTCTCATGCTTGGCTTCTTTGCTCAGTCCCCAAGAAATCCCACTTCTCTAGCTTCTCATAAAATGATTTCTCTCCTCCCTTTTTCTGATTATTATGTTTTCTTTAAAAACAGGGTTTCTTGGCTGGAGAGATGGCTCACAGTTTAAGAACACTGGCTATTCATCCAAAGGTCCTGAGTTCAATTCCCAGCAACCACATGGTGGCTCACAACCATCTATAGTGAGATCTGGTGCACAGGCACATATGCAGACAGAATGTTGTATAAGTAATAAGTCAATCTTAAAAAAAAAAACAAAAAAATAAACAAATAACAACATCAACAAAAACTGGGACTTCTCTATGTAGCTCTTGCTGTCCTGGAACTCCCTATGTAGACCAGGCTAGCCTCTTACTCCAAGAATAAGATCTGCCCGCCTCTGCCTCCAGAGTGGTGGCTGGGAGTAAAGGTGTGTGTCATCAAGCCTTTCCTGATTATTTTATTTTATTTTTTTATTATTAGTTACATTTTATTAACTCTGTATCCCAGCTGTATCCTGCTCCCTCATTCTCTCACAAACCCCCCTCCCTCCCTCATCTCTTCCCTGTCCCTTTCCAAGTCCACTGACTGGGGAGGACCTCCTCTTTCCTGATTTTTATAGTTCTTCTAGAGCAGTAATGTTAGTAGAGTGGGGAGGTTCAAGTTCTGAAGTAGATATGGCTTCCGATCCTTTCCACTCCATTTCTCTGGGGCTCTGTGCTCTGGGTAAAAAGCCTACATCCTCGAAACCTTAGTTTTCTTATCTGTACAGTGGAGCTTCATATTTATTATTGGTTATGAAAATGCTGTTTCCTTTTTCTCACATGACATGTCTCACTGAATCCCCCCTTTCTCTTATTTTGAGACACAGTCTCACTCCATGGACCCCAGACTGGCCTGACTCTCACGATCCCCTGCCTCCCATGCATTATCACACCCTCTAGTTTTTGTTTTGTTTTGAATCTTTCTTAAGATGCTAGGCAGGGTCTTAAACACAAATAGAGTGGGGTGCCATCCCTCCCTCCATTCGTGGCATATGTCCCTGATCAATTTTGGTAATGTCTTGCTAAAGTCACATGAGACTTCAGAATCCTTCTCAGCATTTATCTTAGGCAGCTATTACCAACCAATCAGGCTACAAAAAATGAGACTTATTTCCTATCTCTGGTCAGCAGTGTAGACTGCTCTGCTATTGATTATGTTGAGTCATTTAGCCACACCACTGAAGAGATGACGCACACTCTGCTCGTGGTCCACTAGGCTCCCTAGATCCTTAACTGCCAAGAAAAGGTCAGTGGATGCTGGTTCCACATTCAGTTCCTTCAAAATTTTGTCAGCTCTGAGAGGGCTGAGGGGATATTCAGCCCAATCTCTACAGCTCTCAAAATGGCTGCTTCGAGGCTCTGGAAAGGAAGTACAACTGGGGTGAGGTGGCAGAGGAGGTTGGCTCCTCTACACGTCTGCTGGTGGGCTGTCATTCATTCCACAGGCTCACGCCCACCTCATGGATTGGCAGGCATGAAGAAGTGGCAGATGGGCTACATTCTGTTCAGGAGACCATCGCAGCTCGGATGTGTCAGACAAATGGGAGGAGGGAGAACACTGGGGTGGGACAGGTTGGAGGGCTCTCCATTCTTCTGGGTCACAGGGCCCGGGCAATCCAAAGCCTTGAAAAACCTGGACCAACCGCTACACCCTGAGACGCCCAGGAAAGTAGCCCATCTGTGTCCTGGCATTTGTGCCAAGCACTGATATCACAGTGTCCAAACTAGATACCCGCCCAGACTCATATCCCCCAGAGCAGATGGTCCGACAGTGCCGGGTGTCTTTCATCTAAATCAGTGACGTGGGGGAGGGGACTGTAGTGATAGTACCTGCGCCAGGACAAGGCTACTTCCATTTCCCACCCCAGCCCCAGATGTCGCTCTGTCTTTGCCAGGTAAGCAGTGACTGTTCTTAGGACGACACACAGGCGGCAGCCCCTGGAACTCCCTGTTTTCCAGGGGCGCCTATGAAGAGGCGTGCCCCGTGGCTCTCAGGGTGGGTGCCGGTGGGACTCTTCCTTGGAAGAGAGAGAAAGCACACAGAGAGCCTCTGCCTCAGGAAGTGACCACAGCTGGCACAGCTCTCCTGCCAGCAGTCAGGTGGGTGCCGGGCAATGGAGTGGAGCTAATGGGCACCTCCCGTCACTGTCGATTGAGCTGATTGTGTTATCTAGGGGGACCTAGCACTTGGTTAAATGAGATCGAGATAGCATATCAAACGAGCAAATTGATTCCCAAATCGGCTGCCACTTGTTCCCTGCGGGAGCCACCCACGGTCGGCGAGGGTAAGATAATCTTTGGGAGATAGGCCGAGTCTGCAGGAGGTATCCCAGACACCCGAGTGACGGCTGGAGGTCCCAAGGGTTGTGGTGAAGAGTTCAGGGCGACTTTAATATTCAGGGGCCGACTCAAGGGCAGAGGGAATGCAGGGGCCAGCGGAAGGAGGTGCTGAGGGTCCAAACTGCCTAGCCAGTCTCCTTCAAGACCTTGTATTATTATTATTACTATTGTTATTAGTAAATCTTGCTATATGTTCCAAGATGGCCTAAAGCTTTGTTTTGCTTTGCTTTTATTTATTTATTTTTTTAAGACAGGGTCTCATGTAGCTCAGACTGGACTTGTATTTGCTACAGTCAAGGGTGGCCTTCTGCTCATGCATGGATCCTCTTGCCTCTACCACCCAAGTGCCAGGGTTTCAGGCAAGTGACAGACATCCCCAGCAAGCGTGCTCTATTTAACTGACACGGCCACGCGGTGATAGAGGAATCTTCCACGTGTGTTAAAGCCTGCAGCTGGGCAAGGCAGAGACTCAGCCAGTGCTGGACCTGAGAGCCGACAGGCGACTCTCTGGGTCACTCTTGCTTATGTTGACTCATTTAACCCCATCACTGAAGAGATGACGCACACTCTGCTCGTGGTCCACCAGGCTCCCTAGATCCTTAACTGCCAAGAAAAGGTCAGTGGATGCTGGTTCCACTCAGTTCATACAGAATTTTGTCAGCTCTGAGAATAGTCCTGGTCTTTACAGCTTTCAAAATGGCTGTGTGAGGATTGGAAACAAAGAGAATAGGGATGGCGCCCAGTCATGCTGATCTGCAGCAGAGAGGAATGAGGCTCCCACCAGTGAACACTCTAGCCATTTGAAGAAAACACAAGTGAGCAGAAAGGAACGGATCCATCCCGGCCCTAGGGAAGGTGTCTTGGTTGGAACCAGAAGAGCCCCACTCCATTCCCAAAGCACATCTGAGTCTAGAACCCAACCTAACTTGTAGTACTAGGGTACAGGCACACAGACCTTGCTTGGCGTCAGCTCAGCCGCTTTAAGGTCACCTCTGCCTTTGGGCATGTTTTAATCCCACACACCTTTAATCCCAGCACCAGGGAGGCAGAGGCAGGAGGATTTCTGTGAGTTTGGGCCAGCCTGATCTACAGAACTACTTCCATGACAGAAGCCCTGTCTCGAAAAACAAAAGGAGGAGGAGAGAGAGGAAAACGGAAAAGCTTGTCTCCCCTGAATGCTCTAGATAGCAATGTCCTGGCAAAGGTATATGTAGCGGGGAGCAGCCCAGGAGGATAGGAAGGATTTAGCTAAAAGAGAGGTCTCTTCTCTTGGGGGAACAACAGTTCCTGTTGGGTGACGATGTGTATGACCGCGGGGCATGCCACAAAACAAGCATTGTCCTGCCTCATTCACAAAGAGGGCAGTCACCTCTAGGCCTTGCTCATCCCTGGGGACGAAGCTGGGAATACAACCAGATAAGCCTCCATTATCCACACCTGCTCTCGGTGCCTGGCCACAGGGAAGAATTCCCGCCGCTCCCTGTGGAGCTCCAAGGGGCTGGGGCGGCCCCTGAAACGGTCTGGGTCGGGGTCAGGGAAACGCGCCCTCCGGCTGCAGTCCCCTCCAGCAGCAGCGCTTCCCAGCAACCCCCAGCCCTGGGCGTTGCGGCATGGGCCCTCCCCCCGCATTAGCTCTTAAGCT